AGACAGAGTACATGTTATACACCCGAAAGCCATACAGTTTCCAGCTAAGTACAATTACGGGACGGCTGAAAGAAGAATGTTGCCTTCAATACTATCATGGGCTTCTACTATACATATTGACGTGTCGCACGGTTTTATTTTAGTCTAATCTATGCATATGTTTATAATTCCCACGACTGTGTCTATTTTATTATTTTTTGGTTTTTAGTACATTATCTTAAACATTGCTATGTATGTTTAACATAAAACCGTTTAACTTAAAAAGTTTTTTTACCTATTTTTATTATACGTTTACATGCTATAATATCAGTTGATATGAATATGATTTTGCGAATTTTTATGAATTCATGCAAAATTGGTAACATTATTTTTAATTTATGCAATTCGCCAAGCAATTTTTGTAGTTAATGGGCAAATGAGCTTCTTTTTAAATATTTTTTATCTTTGATAATGTAATATAATTTCATATGTATGCATATATTTGCTACATATGTATGTATGTACATATATGATATATTATCATAATATCTTAAAAAACTTAGTATATTACAAGAATAATGTATATGTATAAATAACACCTTTTATCATTTAAAACTTTCATACGCATCTTTCCTGCAGATATGTATGTACATACAAATGTAAGTACAAATCAATTTCAAATGAAGATATCATTTATCAGTGAAATAACATGCGCGCGCTGCTCATACATATGTGCGTATATGTACATACATATGTGCGTATGACATTGCTACACAAATAATGTATACACAAACCTACGAATAAACATATCTGTATATACATGTATGTCGCCTGCGAAAACTTCAAATATTGTTCTACAAAAACAACAATCGTCTTAAACATCATCATACATACTCATATGCGTACACATGTAAATATGTCTCCCGCAAAAATTACAAATACTGTTTACAAAAACAACAATCGTCTCAAATAGCATCAGAAATCAATATGGCAGCCAAATTGAGGACGTCAAAATTTATAGTAAATTACACAACAACAAAATTTTCATTCATGAACGCAAACGTACTTTCAAAAAGCATATTCGATTCATTCATAAAAGCAGACGCCATTACTCTCCCCGAGCATGTCTTGCCTACAAGAGTCTTTTCGCGACGATTTCAAAAGCTAAAAATCATAAATTGAATATATTTCTGAAATGTATGAGAAGGAAAAAGTGTCAACCCCGCAAAAATATATTAAAATAAAATTGACAACGTAGTTTATTTGTCAACGAAAATATTCAATATTCCTCTGATTCATGTGTACAGTCAATCCCGGCTAAGTAGTACTCCGCTTAAATGAAAATCAAATCCCTCCCTCATCACTCTTAACAGCATACATATATAATATCTTGCTGCATCTCATGGTTTGTTTTTTTAAATACCTAGAAATTATTGCTTTAAGTACGACTCATTTAAGTATCCGCAGTCACTTATGTACCATATTATATTTTTATTTCTAACTAATTACAAATATCTGTATCTTTGAATGTGGCACATAACCAGTATTGACTGGTCAAGGAATGTAAAAAATATTTTGTAATTCTGAAATATTTTTACGCAGCTGCGTTGATATGTATGCAAGCACAAACATACATATGTATGTCTTTACGCTAGTTTGTAGGCAAAGCTGTAAAGCGACAAGGGAAGCGGTATCAGTACAGCTCCGATTTTCTTTGACTTTTTGATAAAGTTGGGTTGTCCGTGACAACGGAGTTTTTGTATGAAACATACAAGTTATGTCGCGACAAATTTACACACATAATTCGAATGATTCTTTCAAATTTGTTTACATCAACAAAAAATTACATATGTATGTAATTTCATATGTGAATATGCGAGCATATATATGGTTTTTAAAATCTGTTTACATGTACACATATTTATATGCATATGACTTTTAAGATTTTATCAAAACATCAAATGCCCAAAGTAAATAAATACATATGTATACAAATATATAACTTAAAAAGCATATATTAATTAAAGTCATAATACAAATATGACTTAATTATACATTTCAATTTATTTAATGGAATTCATCATTAAATAGGTCAAATTGCACTTATGTACATACATATTTATGTATATATATAAATTTTAGCTTCGTTATCAAATATATGGGGAATATCCATAGCGGTTTGCGCATTGTAAATATGCGAATCTGTAAGCGTACATTGAAATTAGCATCACTTCTCTCATTTAACAATGAAAATGCTCAATTCTGCTATTTTCGACCTCCTCATGTTAAATATTGGTGAAATCCGCTAATAATATTTTTGTGCTGAAATCCACTAATAGAAAACTCAACCCCTCCAAAAAGAGGAACGTGATGATAATCGGCACACCCTGAACCTTCTCTATATAATACGTTCTCTGCAGATTGCACAAATACTTTGAAACATTTTCAGCTGTTCACTAACACTGTTACATTTTCTGCAATTTTCAATTGAATGGGAGAATACGTAAATAAGATAAAGAAAAACTATCGACATTTTAAACATATTGTAATGTTAACTTGCTAGAATAGAAAAGACGAATACCAATTTTTCAAGAAGAAGAAAAAGAAATGAGGAGAGTATTTTGGACATTGTATAAACCTATATTTCCTTTAATTACATCTCTGTGCCTAAAAAAGGCAGATTTCGATCAGGTGATCTCAGCTGTGAAAAATTCTTGGAAAACAGCTGATTCTTTTGTTACTTGTAGGGTTATACAAGGATTTTGGATATTAAAGGGGTAAGTTCGTTACTTGATAATTTGATATTTTATAATTAATTTTTATTATATATTTATATTATTAATTTCTTTTATATAGAGAAAACGAAAAAACTTAACAAGGAGAAAAAGGTAAGCAGACATCATTTGGAGAATTCATATACATTGCGTATAACAAAAACATATGGGAGTAAGTTTTAAATTATTAAAGTTAAATAGTGCATATTTAATTGAAATAGTTGTTATAGATTGTGCATTTTTTTGAAATATGTAATTTGTGCGTTATATCTGCATATATATATACAGTAGGCAGAAAAAGTAAGTTATCACAGTGAAATATAAATCAGCGAAGGGAATGAAATTTAAAAGTTCATATTTTTCAAACGAAATACTTTTTTTTTATTTACACCATATTTCAAAGTACAGTGGTACCTCGACATACGAGTTTAATTCGTTCCGCAACCTTGCTCGTATCTTTAATTACTCGTATGTCGAAGCAAATTTAACCATACATAACAATTGAACTACCATTAATCCGTCCCAACCTCCAAAATGTCACCCCATTTATTTTTGTTACGTGGTTTTGAATAATAAAAACGTCTTTATAAATATCAAATATTTATTACACAAAAACCAAAAAAAATAATGTAAAGAAATAAATTAGATATCTTCACTGGTCTTTGCCTTTTTCGCAAAATTTTTTCGCTTTCACCTGTAGGCCATTTAGAAAAAAACATGTCCAGGGAGGTTTGTTTCTTCCTCCCTCTCAGAATGTTCCGGAAATGAGTTAGGCAAGGTCAGATGCACGACATTTTGCCACTTTTTCTGGGTGTTTTTTTCACGAACTGTGAAACTCTCTCACACATTCCTAAGATCTAATTTATCTCACTTGTAGAAATAACCTCCTCCTCTGACTCCTCAAACCAAATCTCTTACATAACCTCAGTATGCTGCCATGACGGGAACTCTTGTATCTCCTCAGTCGTCAGCTCCTGGGTGTGCTCCTCGATGAGCTCGTTCACATCTCTCTCTTCCACCTCTAGACCCAGGGATTTCCCCAGAGATACAATCTGCTCCTCTACTGAAACACGGGGTTAAAATTTTTCATAGATCCTTTGAGCTACAGCATCAGGCCACTCGTATCTTGAATTTCGCTCGTAACTAAAAGCAAAAAATCACTTGCTCGTCGGCTCGTATCTCAAAAAACTCGTATGTTGGGGCACTCATATGTCGAGGTACCACTGTATCTCATTAAAGAAATTTTAGAACAAAAGATAAGTTCATTGCTTTTATAAAAGGAATACATACACACTAGGGTGGGTCGATTCCGGACTTTTTTCGATTCGGGATTTCTAATAGTGCGGAAAAGTTGCCTTAGTACTTCCTGATTCCAATGCAACTTTTTGTTTTGAGATCGGAGTGCATCTTCAACCCCAACTCCGGCCTTGAAATTTCGGAAATTCGCCTAAAATCGTGAAATTGTCTACCTAGCGTCTGAAATACTCATGGCAAAATGTATAAAACAAAAGTTATTTTTCACGTCATTTGCTACCGAAATGGTTGTGATCATGGCCGTAGGACGAACCGTTCCCGAGATATGAGCGAAAATGCGGCGCGCCGCAGTGAGAGGTGAAAATTGTTGCAGCTCTCAGCTAACCTGTATTGGTCACCCAGAACCCTGCCCGTGAAGGTGGCTGCTCTTCGGGTTCCTCCCAAGCCCAGCCCAACCAACCAACCATATGTCAGGCTTGTTTTATTCTGAATCAGTGTCAAATTTATTGATAAAATCAGATTTTGTACTAAACTTTATTACTTGTTGCCTAGATTTCAGTGTAGAGCGTATAAAACGATCACCAGATTGGGGGCCAATAACTTAAGAAGATGCCTCTGTAACCAGTTTGACGGTTCTCTCGACTGCCACGGTGTAAGAGGGGAATTCACTAAATTTCCATACCTCTGCAGTGTCACCCGACAGCCCTTTTATGAGTTCTTCGTTAGAAACTGAACAAAGAACTGGTGGAACAGTCAAGGTAATAGTCTTCTTACTTACTTAATCATATCGTAATAATTGTTAGCTTTAAAATTCAGCT